TGCCTTCTTACATCATTCATTACATCATACTCCAATTATGGAGCTTTTTCAAAAGTTTCAACCACTAAGACTATAGTGGTTCTATTATTACATAAAACAAATAACTTTATGTCACATCTTCTTTATTCAGGGCTCCACCCTTCTATTTTTGTCATTTTGGTCCTACATCTTTACATGTAGTTTGGACACTCCCTTAGCTGGCAAGATTCGTTTATAGTGGTAGGACATTCTGAAAATTGATGTATGTCAAATTTTGTAATGTAGTCCTTTAGTATTTCGAACTTTCCATATCATCAATTGGTTAATAACATCCAATTTTTATATTGGGAAAGAAATGAGAATATTTTATCGTACAAATTCTTTACAATATTTTATATGGCCTTGATCCCAAGTGCTCTTCTATGTTTTATCTATGACTTGGTTATCTTTGGTACTCTTTTCTCATTTTCGATGACATCTATGTTGAAATGGCTGCTACATATCTAATTGAAATTATATGTTCAACCTGATAGCAAACAACTCCATTAAATTCTGGACTAATTGAGTAAAATTTTAAGTATACTCTTCGTCCTCTAGCGAATTTTGATACTTCTTGTACGAGCATTTTATCAAATTTTGATAATTCTATCAAATTTTTCCCTGGATATATCAAATCCAAGAACCCATAGTCTGCAACTGTTTTTATGAAAATAAGATCACCTCCTTCCATAGTTGACTCTGGGTAAACATTATGTCCCGAAGAGATGAAATATCTATAACAGATTTTCCTTTTATAAACCATTTGGACTATTGTGGCATATTTTTCTTCGTTTTTGTGCAAAGGGGTTCTATCATCTTGGTCTATGATACTAATTATTTTGGAATCATTTTTATCTGATCTTATCATCACTTTTTTTACTTGATGTTGCTGCAAGAGCATTTCTTTTTTTATCGGTTGGTATGTTGTCTATTTTGGGTCCACTGTTGCTTCCCACTGTACCTGTTTGGTATTGAATTGGAAGACTCATTATTGAGCTACTTGATATTTCTGTCTCAGATAGTATATTT